GGGGTTACAAAGCAGTAAGAGTTTCTACCAATAGAAGCAGTGGAGTTACTAATTGTATTTCCATGCATCATGTCAGTGAGATTTTTGAGCATGAGTGAAACATTAACAATACCTTCAACATGACTGAAAGTTGCATTAATGGCTGCAAGCCACTTCTCTCTTTCACCATTTATTTTCTCGATCAGCATCCTCCTTTTATGATCTTCAGTTAGTTTAGCTTCATGTGCCCTACCTTCTGCCTCAGCCATGGCCTTCACTCTTATTGTTTCTCGTTCTATTTCAGCTCTCTCTTTCTCAGTTTGTCTTTGTTGTGCTTGAATTTGCTCTTCTGTTGCTCGTCTTGCTTGTTCTTTTCGTATTGATGACTCCTCTTGCATTTTAACCAGCTCAACATTGTGTCTTCTTTGAGCTTCATGATCTGTCTGAAATCATGATATAAAGAACTGTCAACTAGGTTCCTGTGTAAGATCATTTTAGTACTCAAGAACAATGTACGCATTTTATTTCATAAAAAAATAACTTCACATATATGCAGATTTTAAATGTGCATTATTTCCTGGAAAAGTAATCAGGTCCAATCTCATTCTTTATACGGGAATAGTCACATATATAAGTGGACTACTCGATTCTTCTTCTCTCACCCCGTGTCCACCCAACATTTAAGCTGTCAAACAATGCGGTTAAGTTGTAGCAAGAGTTGTTGAGTTTCCAGAAAGAGAATGAGCTGGTTCATCAGTGGTGCTATTGAGTATTAATTAACGCATAATCTTTTGAACACTTTAAAGTTGGATTAGTTCAGGAATTAATTAGTGGGATCGGAGATGATGCAAGGATTCCTCCTTTTTTTCAAAATGATGACTGCTTAACTGACCATCGACTTTGAAAAGCTCTAGTCCTCGGATGTACATTGATGAAACCCTATTTATCTTAGGCCAACTTGCTCTCTTCTCTAGCTCGTTATCATTGATAGAGTCAGTTTTTTAGCTTAAATACAAATATCATAACTGTATGCATAGGTATACAAATTGAGAATGTAAGCATAGGTATAGAACTTGAGTTCTATGTTACATCTTATAATAAACTAACTTTTCTCTCAAGTACTTTGCAACTCAAGATGACATGTCTTAGCTGGATCATTTCAAACTAAGCAAGCAAATAACTCTACATACCTGCATTCTTTTTCTAGCCAATTCATCTTCGTATCTTAGCATTTGTGCTTTGGCCTGTGATTGTTGTTGGTATAGATTCCGCTGGTCTTCTCCCCATTTTCGCTGTTTATCCTGCATTTAGATAAGTGCATTTGGTATAGTGTAAGAAAAAACTAATAATAATTAAACAAAATGTCAAAACAAATTGACAGCTTAAGTGTTAGTAGAGTAAAAGAATTATGATGTGGTTAAACACTATATGAGAATCAAAGCAATCATAGTCTTAAGATGCAATACACACTTAGGTGGCACTTGGTTTTGGTGAAGTTTTTGGAAGAATTGATGTAGAAATGTGGCTATGGTTAGAAAATATTCTCTATGTAGTTATGGTTAGAAAACATTCTCTAACAACAAATGGTACTTGTTTGCCTTTTGGTATGAATGACAAGGTCTGTTACTCAAAATAAATGGTTGGGTTAGGTGATTTTTCATAAAAGAAACGATTAGATTATATTGTTTTCAGAAACCAGAATAATTTGATTTTGCAAAAATAAGTTCCACTTCATTTACTTTTTCCTGAAAGCCTAAAATAATTCGGCTTCGTGGAAATTGTTCAGTTTTTAAACCAAAAAGACTGCGGGCAAGGCAACCTCCCCTTACCCAAGAGGCCAAGACTAAATAGGCCATGTGGTGTCCATGATGGGCAACGCATCCTCCCCCTTGTGGTTTAAAAAAACTAGCTTCTCATTCTGAAAATGTTTTCCTAAATACATTAAAACCAAACACCATCCAAGTAGCAAAAAGATTGCTACAGTTAAGGATTGTCTTTTTTCTTCTATCAAAGTAAGAAAAACAAGATCACTAATATGTTCCCTCATATTCTATTGATTCCTTCTTTTTGGCTATCCATAAAATCCTATGAGAATTACATCATTTCTCCCCGAAAACCATTCAAATCCATTTTTTCCTAATATTAATTTGATATGGTTTAAAGACTCACAATATCGGCTTGAGCCTGGATTGCCTCATAATGAACTTTCTCTGCAGCAATATCCGCAAGCCGGTTTTTTTCCTGCTTTCTCATCACATCAAACACCTTTTAACCAAAACCAATAAACCCAAAATTAGATTAATTTTTTCACCTTACCAAAATTTAAAAATGAAAAAAAAAAAACTTGAGGTTATTAAGAAAAATATTTACTTGTTTGTGATAGGGAGAGCTATTGATTTCTCTAAGAGCTTTTGCACCTCTCTCTAATGATTCCGGATTGAACCCGCCTCTTGAATCTTCAGGAGGATCATTTGAATCCGACCCAGATTTAGAGTCCGACTGAGGAGCCTGTGGTGGAGGAGATGGAGATGAAGAAAAGGGGGAGAAGCGAAAGGGAGCGTCGGCGTACGCGCGGTTAGGGAAAGTGGAACATGAAGCTGCTGCGGCAGCTGCAGCTGCCATCGCTGCCATTGAAGACAACTTCGAAGCAGCCATTATTACAACATTGGAATGGAGTGAGATGGAGTTCTGTAATGTCTGGTACGAGAGCTTAAACCCTGCGACTATGGTGGGTGTTCGAAACTAGGGTTTAAGAGGATGATTGAAGTACTTGACCAGTTAGATTTGAGCACGTCGATGTCGTTGGGATATTGTTGTAATTTTACTGCCGACTTTCGTCCAACATTTCTTGGGCGGGGAGTAACCGGGTAAAAATTGCACGGGACGCCCTATTACGTTGCTCTCATTTAAACTATACCTATTTTTTTTTTAAGTTTTAACTTGTACCCACTTTTTAAACAATTTCAGCCCCTTTCTCCTCCTCTTCTCCTCCTTTGCTTTCTTCTTTCTTCTTCTACAACGATGACTTCAACATTGCTCTCTTTGATTAATGAAGTTAAAGCAAATATACTGAGGACTTCCACTTGGATTATTATAACATTAAAAATCCCAAATCAAGAGACAATAAAAGTTCTTTGAAATTTCAGTGTCTCCCACTTGGGTTGCTTTTGAATGATTCTTCTTCTCTCCATTTTGAGTATCTCTTTTCTGTCAATTTTAAATTCCTATAGCTGATTTTATTTGATTACAGGCTCGATTAGCCAGTGTTGGACTTTCAAAAACCATAGCAGAACTTCGAAATATCACCGGTAAACCACAAACAGAGAAGAAAAAACATAACAAAATTGACTACTTCTCCACTCCTTTGCGTCGTTCCAAACGATCAAAAGGAGGTAATGAATCCAAGGTTGAGAAGAGCAAGGCTGCAGAGACTAATAAGCCGAAGAGGCCTACAACATGCTGAAGTTTAATCAAATATAGAACAAAAACTTCAGCTCTAGAGCTGAAGATTCCCAGTTACAAAGACAAAAACTTCAGCTCTAGAGCTGAAGTTTCCCAGTTACAAAATAAAAACTTCAGCTCTAGAGTTGAAGTTTGCCAACTTCAACTCTAGAGTTGAAGTTTGCCAATTACAAAACAAAAATTTCAGCTCTAGAGCTGAAGTTCGCCAGTTACAAAAACAAAAACTTCAGCTCTAGAGCTGAAGTTCGCCAGTTACAAAACAAAAATACAAAAACAAAAACTTCAGCTCTAGAGCTGAAGTTCGCAAGTTACAAAACAAAAACTTCAGCTCTAGAGCTGAACTTCAGACCCGGCTACTAGAATGCTGAAGTTTTGCGTGATCGCCATTGCTACTTCAGCCCCGTATGCTGAAGTTATGCGAAAAAGCGGGTACGCTTGCAATTTTTTTTGCAAAGCGGGCACAAGTTAAAACGTGACACAAAAAACGGGTATAGATGCAAATGGTCCAATTGGTTAATGTTTGAGTGGAAACAATGTTGTAACGGAGTTATACTAGGAAAAGCCTGGCCCAACAAAGTAGAATGTAGGGGAGAAATTCAAAAATAGCTAGATTTACAAGTGGTCGTTCAAAAATAGCCCAGATTCAAAAGTAATCGAAATTTAGTCACTTTTCATGTAAAGATAAATCTGACCGAAACCACTGTTCACAACCCGGAAAATACGCCAGTATATTATGCTGGAGTTCCAGCATAAGTATACTTGAACTCCAACATATTATACTGGAGTTCCAGGATAAGTATGCTGAAAACTCCAGCATAATATGATGGAGTTCCAACATAAGAACACTAGAACTCCAGCATAATATACTTGAGTTCCAGCAAAGTATACCGGTCCAGTATAATATGCTGGAAGTTCATACACAAGTGCTCGAATCTCCAGTATATCATGCTAGAACTTTCCGTGTGTTGGAGTTCCAGCATAATATGCTGGAAGTTCATACACAGGTGCACCAAACTCCAGTATATTATGCTGGACCGGTCTCTGTTGCAGGCTTGCAGCAAAATAGTGGCTATTTTTCATTGACTTGGTAAACGCTGGCTATTTTTGAATGACCAGTCCGAAAACTGGCTAGACCGTGCTATTTTTACAGAATGTAGCCCAACATAATAGTTTCAGTGGGCCGAGTGCACATATAGAGTCGATTTTGGGATCCCTATTTATAGCTTGTTTGGATGGTTGTTACCTATTGGATTGTATCGTATTGTTACTTTAAATACAATGTTTGTTTTGATTGTTACTTAAATTTTATTATACTGTATCGTTAAATCCGTCGTTACATAACAATGAAATGTGCCACTTTATGTAACGTTCAATTTGGTGTGGTTGCGTCGTTACCTTATCTTTTTCTCTCAATCGCACCCTTTATTATTATTAAATAATTTTATATTATCATTTACCCTACCTTTTTATATACCGTATCATAAATTTTCTTTATAATATTGCAATTTTATTCATCATATTACTAGTGCGTGATACCATGAAATAACGGCAAACGACACAATCCATCCAAACATTGTATTCATCAAACAATATAGTATAATACAATACGATACGATACATTATGAAACGATATGTATTCATATTGTTGGTTACAAAGTTGCGTATGAAATTATAAATTTTGTCTGAAGTTTGTTTGTACTAGTAATCCTATAACTTGGGTCATTATGGTTTGAGGTCCAAACTTCAGAAGATTGAACTGCCCAACCTAACTTCAGACCTCGATTTATCTCTAAACAGCTTCATATGTATTAACAAAAGTGTGAATTGGTATATAAACTATGCTTTCTTCACTACTCTTAAAACATGGTTTAATGGACTAATGATCCTGTTGAAAAGAGGCGGATTCGGAATTCAAATACTATGAGTTTAATTTTAAAATTTTTTAGCATTGAACCCATTATATTTGAAAAATTATGGATTCATAACTACTATTTTTGTAATTTTAATAAATTTTTACTTCGCGTTAAAAGTTATGGGCTTTTAACCAAAAATGTGTATCTCGATTAAAGCATATTTTTAAAAGAACTCGGGTTACTGATAATCAAGAAATTTCGTACTTTCTCAATTATATGAAAGGAAAAGACAAAAATAAGTAAAGAAATAATTGATTGCGAAGTCAAGATAGCAGAAAAGTAAAGTGAATATATTCCAATATAGTCTCAGATGATCCTTACAAATGAAATTCTCTTCCCTTTTATAGGGGTTTACAAATATAATGTTTCCTCCCTTTTATGGACGAATCATTATGACATAAATTACAATAATGATCCGTTATAATTGACAATCGTAACTGTTTGTGTAACGGTTCCAATTCTTATTCCTCGTTAATTAGAGGTTCGTGAATCTTCCCCTTCTTACTGTCTTGATTCATTCAGCCTATATTTACTGAATGATTTAAACTCAAGAAACTGCATTCCTTCATCTCGTGAGTGATTTGCCCGCGCCTCTTGTATCGTATGCATCTTCCAGTGCAGTATTCCAACTGTCACCTTCTTGGTGATCCACGTATCATGCCTTGTCAGCCACACATAATTCCACGTGTCATATTTATTTTCTACCAATACAGATAGTCCCCCCACTTGCCGAATATTCTACAATTGAATATTTGGGAAGTGGTATGCATTTATGACGGGAACTTTTGCCGCCGTTTTCCATGTATCATTATGTCCTCTTTAGAACCAACGCATCGTATGTCACTTCCATTTAATGCATGGGCCATGTGGCCTATATCGATTGGGTCTGCGACTCTTCAGCGATTTTTAGGGCTTTCTTGCGTCTGCGTCAGTCACGAAGTGACTACTTCATTATGACGTTTCCATCATGACTCACTTTACAAGACAGTTGCTTCTTCTTATAAATACCTCATGTGCCTTTGGTTTCACGAAAACCTTCAATCTACTGTATCCTTCTTCTCTAATTGTTCTTATTCTTCAGTACACATTACTTTCTTGCATCCATGTCTTCACCAATCCTCGCAAACAATCATTGTAGATGAACTTCCTTCTTCAACTACTCCTGTTAGGAGTAGAAAAGGCAGTAGGTTACGTAGCTTAGGGTCTTTATCTGTCCGGGGTTCTTCTTCCCAACCCAACATTGTTACCCCTTCTTCATCTAGGACTAGGGCTTTTCCATCCCATTGATCTTCTGCCAAAAATAGGGAATCAGGTGAACCTCTTCGAGAACCAACAGTTGATGAAATTATCCCTGCAAAATTTTCTTTCTCCACTAATCGTAAATCAATTAGAAACCAAGTTACTTCTATGACTTCATGATCGTGTCGATGTCTATCCTTCTCAGATTACTGATGGTTTGATTTCTCTTGTGCGAAGAGAATGCTACTGGAAACCTGATTTTCCAATTTTAATTCCCTGGTCCAAACCAAAGGATAACTTCGTATCTGGCTAGTTACTCTTTCGTTTACACATATCTTTTTACTTTAGGTTTCAAACCCCCTATTGACCCAGTTATCATAGAATTTTGTCGCTTCTTCAACGTTTGCTTAGGACAGATTGGTCCTATTGTATGCAGAGTTGTTGCATGTTTACGATACCTATCTAATTTGGCCTCTTTACCCTTCACCTCTCAACACTTGCTTCATTTGTATTCCCCTTAGTTGTTCCGCTCAGGGGTTTTCACTCTTGCTTCCAGGATCAAAAGGGTTTTGGTTAGCCCTGAAGATGATAAGGACCGTGGCTGGTATGCCCGTTTCGTTGTTGCTCCCACAAGTGATTTAGTGGGTGAAGAGAACATGCCTTTTCCAAAGAAGTGGAATTTTGCACGTAAGTTTTTTTATATCTTTCTTCTTTTATGAGGGATGAAAAAAACCGACGATCTCAAGTATTTTTTTCTCTTTTCAGCAACCATGGAAGTTTTTGATGAAATTCCAAACGTCTGTGCTTGGGTAGAGAAGATGTTATCGGTTGCTCCCATGGAAAGAAGATCCTGGAAATACCTTTCTCATAGGTTTGGCTGGAAAGTCAAAACTCATAATATACTTTCCTTTAATTTTCTTCCTTTCTTTCGTATTTACTTGGATAATTCTAACCTTTTCGTTTGTTAGAATTTCCCATTCGAGGTGTCAGTACCGCGTCTATTACTTCATCATGGCTTCTTTGTCTCTTGCTCAAGAAATAATTTTGAATTTCTTGTCAAAGAGAAAAGATGAGAGAGCTCATGGCTCTGAAGGTGAAGAGGAACGGGAAGAAGGTTCCTTAGTGCGCAGGCCTCGGCTAGGAGGCGTGTTATTTCGGAT